CCATCACCACACAGTCCCCTCTCCCTGGCACCGCCCACCCCCTGCCACATTTTCTCCTCAAACCAATGGCTGGAATAGTTACTCATAGTTTCTGTCATGCATAGCATCTGCCCCCTCTGTCCCCCCACATTCACACACACCTCCAAGGTCATCATTGTGATCGCCTGTTGCCTTCCCTAAACCTATGCAAAACACAGCCTGAGGGTCTGTCACCCCAAAGTACCTCCTCCAACCCCGCCCTAACACGTATGGCATCAAAACACTCGTTCTGTTTGTCAGTCAACCTACCCCACAGGTCAGCAATTTCTCCATACTGACTACCCCCTCCACCCTCATAACAAACATTCAGCTACCCCTCTAGATATTTTTGCAACCCAAACCTCCACTCCACCTCCTCTCGACCTCTAGTTCTATAATACGCCTGAATTTCCAGTTTGGCTCTCGACTCCCACCAATCCTACACACCCACCCCTTGATCCCTAGCCCCTCAGAAAGGTTCCCACCAATCCCTGAAAGAAGGTCCCTTCCCCTCTGCAGTAAGGAGCTGCACATTTAGCTTCCAATATCCTGAGCATCTATGTACCATACCAAACCATGCCAGGTCCGCCATAACTGCCCGGTTCTGTACCCATTCGACCGTAAGCCCATGAGTTGCATATATTCGCTTCAATCTTGCTGCATAGCTTCTCCTCACAAAAGGGTCCTCTACCCTCCACCCATACGCCCCCCCACCACATCAGAGACCCCCGCATCCCGCAGTACATCCCGTAACACCCCGAGCACACAACATGCCCCTCACAGCTCTACATCCTTATGTCTGATAACACAGTTCCAATCTCCTCCCAGGATGGCAACCATGGGCAAACCTCGCAAAAAAATATAACACGATGTCCCTCACAAAATCCACCTTTACCCGACTAAGCCCTTCTGCCGGCATATACACGCCCAAAAAGCAAACCTGGACCTCCCCCCAGACTCCATCCACCCTCCCTCTCCAAACTCCTCCCATGCAAGGACTCGAAAGGGGCTGGACTCCCGTACCACCACCGCCACCCCACTCTTTAGCCTCACTAAACTACCCTCAAGCAGCCTATATCCCTGCAACCACAACTCGCATCCATACTTAAAACTGTTACTGAATGAAACACACATCCACATCAAAATGCCTAAGAACACTCTCCACCCATGCACGTTTTACTTCAGCCCTATGGCCATCGGCATTAATAGTTAGACACTTGAATTCTTCAAAAATGGGGGCTTTCCCCGATGCCTCTGGGTCTTGCCATTCACACTTTGGACAGTACCTGACTTCTCTCGTGCACTCTTCCTCTCCTGTCCCCCATCCCTCACCTGAGCAATCCTCGACCCCACCATAGCCACATCTCCCCACATCCTCTTACCAGGTCTCTGTGCCGGAGTGAGCACCTCATCATCCGACAACTCCCGAGCCCGTTTCCTAGACACGCTCCCTAACTCCATCTCCACACTTCCACCAGTCATGTGGACCTTAGCCTCTACCCTCTGGACTTGCAGAACACCAGTACCCAAGTCCAGCGTCCCTGGAGCCTGTGCCAGGTTCCCATCAACAAGCTGGGAAACCTTCCCCACAGTAGAGCAATCCTCCGCCGGCTCATCCAGAAAATTTTTGAGTATTTCCTGCAGGTGGAGTGCCAAGGCCTCCTGGAGGTCACCAGGCACCACCTGCTCCATGACCTCTGTCGCAGGTCCAAGGCCTTCCCCTCCCGAGTCAGCACCCGACATCTCAGAAGTCACACAACGTCCCTCGTCTCCTGCGGCCTCGTCCGCCCAAGTCGAACATACTGCCCCTGCCATAGGCGCAGAGGACATATCTCCACAGGTATTGACACCAGCGACATCACCAGTTCCATTGGTCGCAGGGCAGCCGCCTTGCTACATCCCACTGCCATGCAATCAAAACTACCCCACAAGCGACATGTTTGCCGTTGTCCTGCATACGTGACATACACTTGCCTCCTGAGCTCCTCAAAGACAATAAAAGAGGGAATGGCCCTCCTCAACGTCATTTTCAAAGTAAAGGATCCTTCAGGCAATCCAGCATAGAGCCCATCCTTCCACCTTCCCAATATCGCCGTATTCACCTCACCGTAACACTTGAACACCTCACTAATATCCACGGCGTCCACATCAAAGGGGACGTTATGGATTCGTACTCATTTGTAGCTTTGGGAAGCATCCCTCAGTCGTACCTCCATCCCCAAAGTCACAGGAAGGCACTTCTGGTATAAGGACAGCGTATGCAGGCATCCACCGAACAAAACTTTATGAAGATTCTCGATGTTCCATTCATTGCTGTTCCATGCAGCTCGTAGTTGCCAATACCTTAAGCATCTCTGATGATCGCTGGCAGCATTGCAGAAGCTATTGTTGGGTAAATCGCACCCTTTACGATGTCAACACACACCGTATTGCTGCGTCGTCTACCACCGGTAGCCATCTTGGAGAAAACAGGAAAACTGCGCAGGAAGGTCAACTCAAAAAGGAGCGTCTGCACAGCCCACCCTCTCGGTCTGAGAGCGAAGAGGTCATTGGTGAGACACTATGAGACACCAACCTGCTCCTAACATACACCCAGCAGGCCCAGACACTGCGAGACACCAACCTGCTCCTAGCACACACCCAGCAGGGCCGGACACTGAGACACCCAACCTGCTCCTAGGATACACCCAGCAGAGCCAGATGCTGAGACACCAACCTGCTCCTAGCACACACCCAGCAGGCCCAGACACTGCGAGACACCAACCTGCTCCTAGCACACACCCAGCAGGCCCAGACACTGCGAGACATTAACCTGCTCCTACCATACACCCAGCAGGGCCAGACACTGAGACACCAACCTGGTCCTGGCATGCACCCAACAGGGCGAAACACAGAGGCAGACACCAACCTGCTCCTAGCATACACCCAGCAGGGCAAAACACCGTGAGACAGACACGTACCTACTCCTAGCATACACCCAGCAGGGCGAATCACTGTGAGACAGGCACCAGCCTACCCCTGGCATACACCCGGTGTGAGACAGACACCTACCTGCTCCTAGCATACACCCAGTGTGAGACAGACACCTACCTGTTCCTAGCATACACCCAGCAGGGCGAGACTTTGTGAGACACCAACCTGCTCCCACACACAGACAAGTGATGTTGTCTGCACAACAATGGAGGCTCCTCCTTGTGTCTTGTTTGTAACTCTGTCATTTTGTAACTCCGTCCGTAACTTTTATCATGCATTCATGTTTTTGGCACTGACCTAAATCAATTAATAACTTGGCATTCACTCTTTTTTCTTTTGTATTATTGTCATAATCATAACCTGGTAATATTAACTGTAGTCTCAGCTCAACTCTGCAACACCAACTGCTCGGGATTTTGTCTTTCTTTTCTTTCATTCTTTATTGTATCAATCATTTATGACTTTATCACTACACTGCTTCCAAAATCTACCAGATATTTGCATTTATTTACATTTAAGGTCACAATCTTGACCCATTATATATGTTTGTTGTGATCATTTGTGTCAACACTGCCGCCAGCAGTCTGACCAGCTGCTTGCTGCCCTGCCTCACACACCTTCCAGTAAAAACATTGGCATTTAATTTTAAATTGCAAGTATCTTGACCTTATCACATTATTCACACTAGAAAGTTGTTACACTTGTAGGTATGTTCAATGATTCAATCACATACGATGACCGCTAACATTATCTTAGGACAGCCACTAGAACATCTCACGTGTGTGTATATAGATGCATACCCATGTATTCATATAGATACGAATACATATTCAGTTGTATGAATCTATACATATTTTTTTGTGTCCATAACCACTACAAATATCACCACCACGTTTACTAATTCTACAACTGCCGGTAACCGCCATGTCACTACCATTATCACCACCATCACCACCACTACCACCATCATGTGCCTCTGTAACTAATAACAATATAAGACAATCATTATACGATACCTGTAATTGTGAAGAAAAAGAAACGAGGATCTTTTTTATGCAGTCTCGTAGAAATCAATTTCGGAAATGTTCAATACAAAATTGAGCAGAGAGAACTAGCACATGTTAATTTTTCTATGAACTTTCATCTCGTAACTGTGACCAGTGTTTAAAATGTGAAGCCGATTGAATAAGGTGCTCTTAAGTTATATACGAGAAACTAAGATGGCGCAAGCAAACAACTGCTAGCTGATGGACGCCTCTGGAGTCACGTCGTGCAGTGTCTAAGACTCAACTCATAAACTGAAAAATTTTATACAGACAGGAGTTTTCGTTATTATTTTCACATTTCGTTTTGCCCATGTATTCTTTAAGATAGACTAATTAGATAAAAAAAATCCCATGGTTCCAAACTTTTAAAAAATATTATTGGCACTGACTACTTTAGCCACACACGATAAACTGAATGGTTACCATCCTTGCCCTAAGATGCATCAGCCATTGAATACCGAAGATATTCACAAGAGGAAGATGCATATATTTTGATTATATTGATTAATAAAAATTTCACAGCTTTACACACAACTTGGTCAGATCTGCAGCTACCCACAAAACATTCACTCTCCGCCATCCACTCACTTGGAGGCGCCTTTTTTGAAGTAAGCGTTACTCGAACCATTCTAAGATGCTGGCAATGGTCTCAATAATTTTGGTCACAACGCACCTGCACACGACAATTTTTATTAGAATCTGGACCTCGTTACCATAGATAAGCATTCAGAATTTGAATCCGATCGATTAAGGGATTTTTGAGTTATGAGCAGACAAAACATTCATTAAATCATTTATTGATCTTTCAGCGATTCTTAAATACTCTTCATGAAGTTTCAATTGAGTTTCAGTAGGTGCATATAGATTGCGATTGTCATCAAATTTACGCCAACAAACTGCCTCAAGACTGCCGCTTGTTTCCTGAAGAGTGACATAGAGAAAAAGACAAAAAGGGAAACTTACCCTGGACGTGCATTGTGGCAGAGACGGTGGAGGCGACCGCAGAGTTGGAGGCAGTGCAGGTGTATTTGCCGGCGTGTCTGCCGCGTATGTCAGCGAACACCAGGTTGGAGAAGAACTGGGAGTGGGTGACGGTGAGAACCGGGTCTCGAGGCAGCGGGCGGCCATTATGGGACCATCGGAGGCTGATGGGAAGGTCCCCACTCAGCAGCGAGCAAGCCATAGACAGACGCATTCCTTCTACCAGTCCCGGGGGAAACTTGAACTCCGCCAGAACTGGTGGCTCTGTAGTGGACAACACGAGTACACTGAGTGGGAGGAAAAACTGTGGAAACTAAGACGAATTTTGGTTACAGTAGGATCAGAGAAAGGTATCCCTGTATTCCATATTATTATTATTATAATCAAAGGGGAAGCGCTAAACCCGGAGGATTATACAGCGCCTGGGGGGGGGGATGTGGAAGGCATACAGGCTTAATTCGGGGAAATGGAGCACAGATCCAATTCCCTAAATCAAGAGCCCCTCACCAGCATCAAGGAACCTTCCTTGAGGGGACTGTATTCCATAACCCCAGACCCCTGTATGTCAATGAACGCGAAAAAATTAGTGCAGAGTGAGGTATAAGTTTATATTGCACTTAAGTATTAGTGTTCAATATATAAAGCGAATCAGATTTGGTGTTCACAGGTTGTCATATAGACTAAAATATCACACTTAAGAAAAAGGCAAATTAGGAAATGTACGATTCTAAACTATTTTAAACCTTCCGGTAAAAAACTCCAGCTTTAAGGTAACGTAAAACTACCCAGCGATATTTCTCAAGGAGGTGTTCCAGAAGCGTAGCATCTCAAGTGGAAGGTCAGGAAGACAAAAAATGGAGTTAAAGTCTTTACACAGCGCTCTGGCGAGTGGAGCTTACAAAATCTGAGCCAGTCGAAAGTTAACAAGCTTTGAAGCCAAACTGAAGTTAACTAGCTTGGCAGCTAACCAGTTTTGAAGCTAACCTAAAGCTAACCAGCCACAATATGAACTATTACGCTATCAGTGGTGAAAAATCAAGGCAGTTTCAAAATACTTCAAGGAAATCAATATTTAAATGATGCCAGTTTCTCCTTTAGAGAAAATGCAAATTGGGATCACCTGAGACCACAACAAATCCAAACTTTTCTCTAAGAGAACTTTACCGAAGTTTGAGGTTTACATAAGTTTGGACGTAAGTAATTAAGATTTATTAAACGAACTTGATGTATAAGTAATTAAGATTTATTAAACCAATTTCTTGTAGATAAGTAACTTAGATTTATTAAACGAACTTTACGTATAAGTAATTAAGATTTATTAAACGAACTTTACGTATAAGTAATTAAGATTTATTAAACGAACTTTACGTATAAGTAATTAAGATTTATTAAACGAACTTTACGTATAAGTAATTAAGATTTATTAAACGAACTTTACGTATAAGTAATTAAGATTTATTAAACGAAGTCTAATTATGATATTTTTCCTGATCAGAAGAAACATTCTTAAGTTACTTAACCAAAAAAAAAATTAATAAAATTGACGTATTAAAAGTTGAACACATCAGCATTAAAAGTTTAAAGCCGACCGGAAGAAGCATTCCAGAGTTTTTTTTTCAGAAAAGCCAGTATAATATGCATCTACACAGTCTGAAGTCGACAACTTTTTCATCATTTTCTTGAGATAAATCAGTAATTAAATATTAATGATGATCGTTTTTGCTATATTTTAATCATGAAAAAGAAGTAAACCAGTAGGGGTCATACAGCGCCTGTGGAATGCGACTCGATGGGATTCGACTCAAACAATGGAAGGATTAGTCAAATTCCCTGGATCAAGAGCTACCACCAGCATCAAGGGAAAATACTTAGTGCAATAGACATGCAGTGATACCTGGTATATCCGGCCTGCCATTATCCGACCATCGCCAGTATCCGAACAGGCTCTGGGAAAGAGCAAAATTCTAAAATTATTACCGAAATATCCGAACAGCCGTTCTGATACGGTAGAAGGCTGAATCAAACTTGGTGCGCACATTAGTGTACAGGTTGGCCACTAGGAGCCGCGCTCTTCACCTCCCTTTTAGCATTATTACAGCTGTGTTTTGCCCGAGTTATCTTGTGCATGGCACCAGAGGGCCAGGAATGTGCTTTTGAAAATAAAGGGAAATATTATCGCACGTGGATACAGGTTGGTCTAAGGCTGGGAAAACTACAGAAGACGACTTGCAGGACTGGCTACAGTGTGACCAAGACGACCCTGGTGTGCAATCTGACGGATGCAGAGATTGCAGAATCAGTGCTGTACACGGAACATTCCGAAAGTGACGATGGCAACAACGACCCAATGCCTCCAAGACCAAAAACTTCAGAATCAAGGGCAGGTGTAGAAACACTTTTGGAGTATTTGGAACATCCACTGTCCACAGCACATTTGAAAAGTTATGGTCCTGTGGTCCGTGAAATCCGGGAGGCTGTCATACGAGCCCAGGGTGTCTGGTCCCACCGCCAGGCGACGTTGGACTCATTTTTTAGACCTACGGAGCCGTTGCCGATGGCGATATGACGGTATGGATGCGCAATTTTTCTCCTCACGTATCCGAAAACTCCGTGTTTCTGAACAGGTCACTGTAATATTATATTGTTTCGATATTAAAAGTAACAAAATGGTCTCTACACACTCAATAATGGCAAGAGCTTTTACTAAGGACACACCTGTGTTGAAAGTTTAAAGACATTTATAGGAAGTTTTCCCCAGTTGTTACTACTCAAGGGACACTCCTTAACGCTGGTGAGGGGCTCTTGATCTAGGGAGTTGGATCTGTGCTCCAGTTCCCTGAACTGAGCCAGTTCCATCCCCCCACATGCGCTATATAATCCCTACGGGTTTATATAGCGCATGTGGGGGATGGAACTCTCCCCCATGATAATAATAATAATAATAGTAATAAAACAATAATGTAATAATAATGTAATATAATATAATAATAATAATAATAATAATAATAATAATAATAATAATAATAATAATAATAATAATAATAATAATAATAATAATAATAATAATAATGCAGTTGTCACAAGGCAAGAGACAGTGGGTAGGGCCGCACAACAGCGTCCACATCGCCTCCACGCTGCCAGAGTCCTGTGAACCCTACATAGAATATACCGGAATTGAATATTTGAAACCGATCGAATAAGTTATTCTCGAGGAGTAAAAGCATATTTTGGAGAAAGAAATGAGAATACTCTTGAAAATAGGAAGATGTAATATAAATGATTTAGAAAACCTACAAGTTGAACAATGAGACACTTATGCAGCATTTTATTGGAATCTTTACTGAGAAAAAGGTTCTCCAGCCATTGGCTTCTTGTCTTCCGTTCTTCTGGACTAAAGAAGCCGATGGCTGGCGAAACTTTCCAAAATAAAGAATCGCAAATATTACACAAGTGTTTTGTATTACACAATGTCCTGTATGAACCTGAGAGCTTCATACAGGAAAATTTTAGCCCTTAGTGGCTATAATAAGTCACTCTGTCTGACTTTTTTTTGGGTCATCCTATGTACTTTACACATATGCTTCTACGTATGATAATCTATGTAACTGTATTCGTCTATACCTGAATAAACTTACTTACTTACTCAATCTCCTCAATAATATATCGTGTTGCTGTATATGTGTACTGTTGACATGTCAGTCCTCCGTGACGAGAGACGCGACCATCACCACCTGACCACGTCTAGTGGCATCGCCGTTAAGATAATATTTCTCACAAACGATTTCATTTATAACCTTGTGTTGCTTCTACATTCATTCATGGTAAAATATGAATGAAGCATTAGTAACTTGTGTGACATTACGACTCACGAATCTAATTACTACCGCATTAATTCACCAGTTTTAACAACCATTATCAGTGGTAAAAGTTAAAACGTGTATCATCATTTCCATGTTAGTTAAAGGACACATGTGCACATGTTGCACATGTGTCCTTCTAACTAGGATATTGACGGTAATTCTTCCAGCATTATTAAAATTCTTAATTCCAGTTTATTAAAAGTACAGTGGTACCTCAGTATACGTCCGCTTTGGAATACGTCTGACTTGGTATACGTCCTGTTTGGTATAAGTCCAAGGTCCTGGAACGGATTAAGGACGGATACCGAGGTACCACTGTAATGGAAAATAATATTACGTATCTCATCACCTCCGACTCTATCATTTCTTTCTCAATAGTTGTAATAATTTCCTAGTCGTCATTGATAACAGCTTACATATTTTCCCCTATGAACAGTCGTTCACAGATAATACATAAGTCAGTCTTGATACTCAACATACGACAATGGAACTGAGGCCTCAATTCCGATATTTTCTTGTTAGCAGCTAGTAAAATTAGTGAACGACTAACTTTCTGATTCAGAATATTTCTAGGGTTAGATAAGACTCGTTTCATTACCTTAAGCAGAGCAAATTTGTTTTTCAAACACACGTAGATGTAAACCATTAACTGCCTCTACTGCAAGTTGATGATTACATTCCATACTGGTATCAAATTTCACATACTGAAGCCAGGGAACTTTGTATCAGCTCACGCCATTGTCCCCGTGAAGTGTTGTGTTCAGCTTCTGGGTATTTGTCATAATGCTTTCACTTTAATTGGTTAATCAAGGGCTGAGAGTGCACATATGAACCAGACATATGATCACATATGATCACAAAGTTTACTCTTAGCGGCATTTTTGGTGAAAGTGAAGAAATTGCACCTTGTAAATTCACGTTGCCTCCCCATTTCTTGATAAATGAGACACTTGTGCGACACTTGGGAAACCTTATTGAGGAAAGTTTCGCCAGCCAGTGGCTTCATCAGTCCAATACAGAGATGAATGGTGGAATATCACAAGGAGTTTGAGGTAATCAGTTTCTCAGCCTGGAGTCGATGTGAGTCCATCAATCATAAAACATCCCACAATAAAGACACCCGAGTGTTACAACAGTGTCTCATTCATCTACATGTCTGTTCTCTGAACCATTTATACACTACTCCCCATGACTTGTATGACATACCTGAAATGAAAGAAAAACTACTTTGGTCCTCCTCGATCATCTTTCGTGTATTACACCAGACTCGACTGAGTGACTAAACGTGTTAACCGCATTTCCTCTACGAACTGCGGTCGCGAGAAATTCAACAGATTGTAGAAGCAGTCTCGTCAGGTCACGAGGCTTCTGGCAACGTATTTTCATAAAAATTTTCCACATTTC